CTCCAGCTACGAAATTAAAGTATCACATTTTAGATATAATCTTAAATTTCAGATCAATATTATCAAATACATTAAAGACAATCGGTTTTTATTTTAACCTGAAAAATATACTTTTTCGAACATTAGTGATTTTCATCATAAAGCGATGACAAGTAAAAGTAAAGAGAAAAATAGTAAGATTTCTAAGTAAACGTTTACGTAATATTTTAGGAACACTTTTATTATTTCCAAATTTTAATGACAGGAATTAATTATATTTTTTTAGAAATGCCTTTATAACGATAATTTAGAAGATTAATTTACGTTTAAAACATACGTCATTTAAAAAACCATATTTCGTCGTGGGAATGGAGCTAATGCAGAAAAAATATTATTTTGGAATATTTATGTGGTCTCTTATTAAGTGGTTTTTAATTTACATCAAAATGAATTTAACTATGACACAGAAAATATTCAATTACTGTTCACAATTTTTTCAATCTTTTTAATGACATAAATGGTACATCAATATCTTGGAAGAGATTTTAATGTGCACCATGACCTATGGGGCTCATATAAAATCAATCTGGCAAAATATGATAAATGCATTAAATCAAAATAACCTACTACTACTACTACTACTACTACTAGTGATCAATAAAAATCAATCAATCAATAGTGATATAAAGTGATCAATAAAAACAGTGTTCATGTTGTAGTTTAGGCACCTTACAGAATTTTTACATTTTACTGGAATGTACTAGATACCAGAAGGAGTCCTTGTTACTTAGAAGTGAATTATAAGGTAATCCAACAGTTATTGATGCGCTGTTCAAAAATTTAAATTTAAAGACATTATTCGAAGTGGAAAAGTTTTTAGCCTCAACAGTTTATAAGATTAATCTGTACTTTATAAGATTTTATCTGCTTGTTTGTATTGCATGTGCCTTGTGCAGTTTGGTGCGGTAGTATAGAACTACAATAATAAAACTTTTAAACAATTATTTTTAATTTGTTTTTTCCTCTAACTATTGTTGCAGGTACAGAAGCTATGAGCTTAAACTCAGATGTACCTTCGGTACGGCTCTTGAACAATCAGTATATAAACACAGATCCTGACTAGATAGCACTGGTACCTAAGGCCAAACAAATAAATTGAAGAAGAAGAAATAAATTATCTCCAAAAATAAATAAACATATAATTTACTTTTCGTTTTTTAAATGTTTTTTATATAAAAAAGTGACAAATTATTATGGGAAGTTCACACATTTTTTACTCTGTCAATACTTCACAATCGCTGTTTTCAAATGGCAGAATAAAATCATACAATAATCTATACTTTCTTCAGTCGTCAGGTACAAAAATACCTTTGATCATCTAGGAGGAACGAAAAATATCGATTACTCAAGAATCTGTACGTGGTAGAAAAAAATATTTCAAATAAGAAATGTAAATAAGATCGTTCTCTCAGAAACAATGCTTAAAGCAACCGACGATTTTGAATTCAAGTAGCGCATGAAATCAATTTTTTTTAATAAAATTTATATTAACTCGACCTTAAAAATTCGATATTTTTTGTCAGAGTGTAGAATCAATTAAAATTAATATGCCTTCGTAAAGTTCTTGTGTACGATCAGCTTATTACCCCCGATCTTCTTCTTTTGGCCACCTCAGCTGTTTTTCGTTACATAGGAACATGCTGAATAATACAAGAACTCCTTTCAACGATAATATTACTTGCCGTATGATCTTATTTACCAATCAACGAGAGAATAATTAAAATGCATATAGACACATGCAGTAAAGCGACAGTGATACTCGGAGTATATGCACCAACAGACGATCCCTCGAGAGTAGAAAAAGAACATTTCACGGAACAACATAAACATCAAATAGAGCTAATTAAGAAGAATGTGGAGATAATTATAAAAGGAGACCTTAACCGCAGAACCGGAAGGAAAGAAAACGATATAGTAGTGGGGAGAATTGGAGAGGATGAACAAAACTATAAAGGAGAACGTCTGATTGAATTATGCTCACTAAACTACATGGACGCAAGAAACACGAAAGCTGAAATCGATAATAGACTACATATTAATCAAGCAAGATACCACAATTAAGATCAAATATGTACGAGTCAGATGAGGAGCAGAATGTGGAACGGACCATAAATTACTGACAGCAAAAATGGGCATTAATTGGAAGCATAACTAGACCCCCTCTACCGAAAAACCGTTGAACACTATAAGAGAAAAACAATACAGTATAGAACTACTCCAAGAACAATCAATAAGAGAACTATACCAACGTCTAGATAAAAAATTAATAGAACTTAGATACGGCAACATCGAAGAAATATACAAGCATATAAAGGCGAGTATAAAACAAGTAGCATTCGAAGCCCTTGGAGAAAAAGAACATATAAACAGCACTATAATGAAATAAATGCACCAACAAAAAGAATAATTGAAGAAAAAAAAACAACTATACAGAAAAGGGCTGACTACAAATAAGAATGAAGTTTATAAAGAATATAGAGAAAAAGATAGAGAAGTGAAAAAACAAATAACACAACAAAAGAATGAAGAATAGGAAAGAACCTGCTTAAACATTGAAACATACATAGGAGGTACAAGAACTTCGGAGTCATTGAAAGTACTGAGAGGATTAAAACAAGACTCAAAAGAAAAAATTAAATTGGAAAATATACAGGACAAAGAATGGAAGGACTATTACAAGGAACTGTAATAATAACCACACTAGTTTTGAGTCTGAACCTGACATACTTTTTTCCGAGGTGGAATTCGCTTTAAAAAGACTTAAGTTAAACAAAGCAGCAGGATATGATCTCATTACTGCAGACGTCTTGAAGCATCTTCCGGAATGTGCAGTGAAAATATTACATCGATTGTGCAATGAAACATGGCACACAGGCGTCTGGTCTGAGGATTGGAGAAAGACCATATTCATACCTCTTTATAACAAAGGTTCAACAAATAATTGTAACAACTACAGGCTATTAGCTCTAATATCACACGCCAGTAAGGTGATCCTCTACATACTGCAACGGCGTCTAGAAAACTTCATAAGTTGGCAAATAGCACCTGAGCAGGTTGGATTTGTAAAGGGCAGAGGTACTAGAGAACAAATCCTTAATGTACGAAACATCATAGAAAAAGCCAGAGAATACCAGATCCCGATATTTATATGTTTCGTCGATTATACAAAGGCCTTTGATAATGTTAGATGGGACAAACTATGGAACATATTGACGACAATGGGTGTACCTAAACACTTGACTCACCTTATTAGCAAACTGTATCAAGATAACCTGGCATATATTCGAATGGACGGATATCTGCCTGACAAATGCACTTTGAAGAAGAGAGTACGCCAAGGATGCGTTTTATCTCCCTTATTATTTAACATCTATTCGGAGTTCATAATGCGCAGAGTTTTGGATGGTTGGGAGGCAGGAGTAAACCTAGATGGTGTTAAGATATCTAACTTGCATTTCGCAGACGACACTACACTTCTAGCCTCTACTCCAGAAGAAATTATTAAATTATTAAAAAAACTCGAGGTAGAAAGTGCTAAATTTGGACTCATGGTTAACTACAACAAAACCAAAATCATGGTTATTGATCGCCAACAACAGTTTCCTAAAACCCAAACTATTGCAAGATGTGAGGTAGTCTCATCTATGATATATCTTGGAGCTCTAGTTAACAACACAGGCAGTTGTGAATCCGAAATTAGAAGACGCATTCAACTAGCAAGAGCAGCAATGAGTGAACAAAACGGGGTCTGGCGTGATCGTCACATTACTATGACAAACAAAAAGAGACTCGTTTCAACTCTGGTCTTTTCCATATTTTACTATGCATGCGAGACATGGACAGTCAAAGAATCAGATCGACGACGTATAGACGCCTTTGAAATGTGGACATGGAGACGCCTGCTTCGAATTCCATGGACGGCTCGCCGTACAAATATCTCGGTTCTGGATGAAATTAAACCGGATCAGCGTCTCTCCAGTACCGTTTACTCTAGAATTTTAAAGTTCTTTGGCCATATCCATCGAAGTGATCACAAAATGGAGCGGTTGGTGATCCAAGGAAGGCCTCAGACTCAACGCCAACGCGGAAGATCTCCACAGCGATGGGCGAACATTACTAAAAAGCTTCTCAATAAACAGTATACTGAGGCAATACATATAACTGATGACCGCGACCAGTGGAGAAATATTATCAATCAAACTGTCCGAACTGCTGAAGCCCAATTATGAACCACAACACATCTACTAAGATGTTAATGACTGTGATGATGACAAGGAACTGATAACAGAACAAAGACCACAATTCATTGGAAAAGAAAACAGGAGAATGCGAAGCATAAGACAGATAGGGAAATGAGAACGACCATAAAAGCAATCAAAAATTAGAAAGCACTAGGACCTGGAGGCATCTCACCTCGGCTTATTTTATGGCTTAAAAAAAATTACACCAGATAATGCAATGGATATTTCAGAAAGCCATATATGACATATATATTTAAGAAAGGAGATAAACAACGATTCGAAAACTACAGAGGAATAAGCGTAATATCATCAATAGGAAGATTATATGGGAAGATATTGCGAGAAAAGATAGAGCAAACGATAAAAGGCAAAACCGGGGAGGATCAGGCAGGTTTCACGGCAGGAAGATTATGCATAGACCACATATACACACTGGATCAGTTGGAAAAGAAAAAAGCAAAAAATAGAGATATACATTTGGCATTTATGGACCTGAGAAAGACGTATGACTCTGTACCAAGGTCAGAAAAATGGGAGACAATGTACAAATTAGAAATACAGACCGAACTCATATAAGCTACAAAGGCTATGTATAAATAAAATAAAATGTCCATTAAAGTAGGAACAAGAATCATAGAAGACTTCAACACAATAAAAGGGCTCCTGCAGGGTTGTTCCACATCTCCAACCCTATTCAAAATATACTTAGAGAAAGCCTTGACTACACGGAAAAGAAAATGCGAAGGTATGGGAGTACCGGTACGGAACGAATTACTAACGAGTACCTATCTACAAGTGAAGAAGACAGACATAGAAGATCTACAGATTGATGACAACGTAACAATCAAAGAAAAGGACAAATTCAAATACTTGGTGTTTATAGTCACGAAAAAGGCAACAACAGAAGAAGAAATTACACAAAGCTTAGGACAAACAAGAATGGCAATTAGACAACTTAACTCAGTATGGCGGGATAGGCACCTAAATATGAGGCCAAAATCACAGATTTATAAAACATTAGTGCAAAGTATTATGACATATGGGGCTGAAAATTGGATAATAAATAAGAAAAACAGCAGTAAAATAGTAGCAACAGAGATGGAATGCCTGCGAAGATATTGCAAAGTAACAAGAATGAATAGGAGAAGTTATTACGAAATAACGCAAAGAACATCAATAGAAACAGACATACTAACATATTTTTTTTAACCTATTCTCTATCCTTCCATTGTTGGATATAGGTCTCCCCCAGTTATCTCCATCTTTCCCTATCTTGAGCTGTTCTCTGCCATGTGGGACCTCCTTGTTTCCTGATGTCATCTTTCCACCTCATCTGTGGTCTGCCTCTAGATCTCTTTGTATTGTATGGACGCCACTTTCCGATGGCATTGTTCCATCGTCCATCTTGGAGACGTTCATTGTGTCTAGCCCATTTCCATTTCAGTTTTGCTGCTTATTCTATTGCGTCTACTGTCTTTGTTCTGGTTCTGATCCACTGGTTACGTTTTCTATCTCTAAGTGATACACCCAACATTTGTCTCTCCATCGCTCTTTGTGCCTTCCTTATCCTATCCAAATTGGCCTGTGTAAATGTCCATGTCTGTGCTCCGTAGGTGAGCACCTGTATTATGCATGAGTTATATACCTTGTTTCGTAAGTATAGAGGGATTGTTTGATTTTTTAAAACGTAAGAAAGTTTGCCGAACGCTGCCCATCCCATTCTTACTCGTCTCGATATTTCGATATATATTATTGAGATATTTAAAGTCTTGGTGCGCCAAGCAATTAGTTAGCTAATTAATTAATTAATTAAAATTATTTTAATGATATGACTATGATTCTATCACAATTTTTTCTATTCTCTTATCTCAGGGTTAAATTCGTGCTTCAATATCTATGCTATTACATGTGAAGGGTAAGGTCCAAAGAATACCGGAATAATAAAAAAAACATATAGGATCTAACGTTATATATTGAAATAAAATAATGAAATAAAATTCACACTCAAATGTTTTCAATAAACAAAATCTCATATAATGATTCTCAAAATTTTGTTCCACGTACGTGAACCTTCAAAATTAATGGTTCAAACAATATTAGTTGAAATCTCAAAATCCAAATATTATTCTAAATCTCCTAATCAAAATATTTATATCCTTTTTTAATTAAGTGTAAAAATTCTGTTATCAATAAAAGAAAAACTGCAGAAAACAAACTATCTCTCTCTGATGATGAGTGGTCCAAATCCTTGTTCCTTGTAGACTATACTATTTACTCGTAGCCGCTCCCTAGGTAATCAGCAATCTTACAACAAATTATTGCAAGTTTATCGTCCTTAATGATCTCCTTCAAATGCACGAATCATTTAAATTATGCTAGCTTCTTCTTCTCTCAATAAACTGAATCTCTTGTTGGCCTGAGTGAAAACTGACTCTAGGAATATCTTTTCTTTACGATAAACTGAATCTCTCTTAGGCCTGAACAGTGACTCTTGGAATATAAGTAGAAAATATAACTTACAATCTTTCACGAAAACTCACAAACTTTCACTGCTACTGCTTCCTACCTCTGGGAAACTACCCGAGAACAACGGCCGTTCGCCTTCTACCCTTGGAAACCAACTGACTATCTTTTTTTTCTTCCGAAACTAACTAACGTCTCATTATCAAACCAATCATCCCACCTTTTTCAACTTCATCCAATCAAAACGCGTCATCCATCCCCATTTCTTCATTTCGATATCAAACAAATTTTTACCTATAATTATAAAATTTCCTAAAACTTATTTACAAATAATATTTTTCTACAATTCTTAAAAACTAACAAAAACCTATCTTTCTAAAATCTATTCTATTGTCCTAATCAACTGCACTAATGTATTTGGAAAACCTGGTTCAATTGTTTTTTATTTCACTTAAGCTTATTCACGTCATACAAATATATTTTAACAAAGAAAATAATTTATGCATAGCTTACGTTTTGTTTAATACAGGTAATCCAAAATTAAAAGACTTTCATTCTTCGAAATGTTTGTAGTTTATTGTTTGACTTATCTGAATTATTTTTGAATGTTTTGAATTTTAAAATATTTTTAAACAAACCGACATTTTCTTGATTTTACATATCATAACAATATACTAACATATATCGAACAAAAAAGTTTAAAGTGGTATGGACATGTAAGAACTAGTGACAGCAAATGGATAAAGAGAATAGACGAATGGAGCCCTATAGAAGGAGGAAAAGAGGACGACCCTGAAGATCCTGGAGGAACTAAGTAGACGACGCCATGAGTAAGAGAGACCTAAACGATCAAGAATTAGACAACAGAGAGAGGTGGAAACGATTGAGCGGGGGAATGAAGTGAATACTGTAGAATTTTTGAATATATATGTGATCTTATTTATAATTTTCTATTATAAAAGATCCGCCAATTTTCGAAACTTTGGACGTGCGCTGTATACAATTGTTTTGTAAACAATGGCGAAAATGTTTATTGAGATGTGTTTATTATTTCAAAATTTTATTATAATAACAAATATTGCAATAATAGAAATTTTAAATGGATAAACTAATATTTCATTCAAACCGAAATATTTTATTATTATCAAGATATACATATTTAATAATGTTTATCAAATTTAAATAGTACAATGGACTATAAAAACATGTTGCAAAATATAAACCAAATACTCAAATTAGTGTATTCCAGTCTAAATAAATTTACAGGCTTATTCGAAGTTGAAATTTGAAATTCCTAATGAGTCTTTAAAGGAAATTTACAGGGTTGTCCAGTCAAAAGACTCAACACTGATATTTAGCAATATTCATTAGATTTTATGAAAATGTAAAAACAGGTCAACTTTTATTTCAAATGGGTCACCTTAACGATATAGAAATACGTCATTTTTCAAGCATTTCTCTTCCATTACCTCAAACACTTAATTTTACATAGGATATAGACATAACAGGTAGCAGGAAGCACTTCTCTACGATCTCGGTAGAGTATTGGCTACTACAGGGCTTGGTGTGACCCTACCTTATGCTGGCCACTGACGACCCTTCTTCTTATCATAAGCAAGTCAGGCCCTTACACTATTTCCTATTTTTTCCTAAACTATTCTGCATCTTTGACCTAAACCGGCTAACACGTCTTGGCAAGCGAGACAGGAAACACCCCTTATAATAAAATGAAAATGTCAATATTTAAAAAGATATTGCCCCAGACGAGTAGGAAAAAATTGCCAGAATCTCGCACTAAACTGCTAGTCTGTCCCATGGATTCTGCGGGGAGGACAAGATTTTAACAAATAAACATACCACTTAAGAAAACACTTGAAACTTAATATCGCTACATATAATGCTAGATCCCTAGTAACAGAAGGAAGAATATCATAGAGATGGAATTAGAAATATCGAAAATTTAATGGGATGTGTGTGGTAGACGTTAGCGAGGTCAAACAATGAGGGGAAAGTCTAATGTTTTGGCGTTGGCTTCTTCGTATACAAAAAGCATGAAAACAGTATTATATCAGTAAAAAGTTTTTCTACTATAGTAGCTTCTTTAACCTTAAAACTAGGTGACAGTTATAGCTTAAAAATCGTAAAAGTATATGCCCTAACAAGTGGCCCTACCAGCTATGAAATAGAAAAATTCTACGATGACATTGCTTTATCGCTAAACGATACAAAAGCACACTTTACCATAATATATGGCGACTTCAACGCTTAAACGGAAAGAAGGGAAGATGACAGAAACATCACTGAGAAAATTTGGTTTGGGAAACAGAAACGAGCGCGGTGAAACTTTACTTAGTTTCCTGCTAGAAAAAAACATATTTCAAATTAACAGATTATACCAAAAAGAATATTGGAACTGGACGTGATAAAGTCCGAATGGAAAAATTAAAAACAAGATAAATGATCCAGCCCTCCCCAAAAAAAGAATTCCTTATCCACAGCCTTGCTCTCTAACCAGAACACGAGTAGCCAGTCGCGAACTTTTTAATCCATTTGCTTACCTTATCTTCAAGCCCAGTAATTGTTCAGTCTCCCCCTTTATCCCCTTTATAAGCAAATTCTAATTGTTACAACTGGCGCCCAACGTGGGGCTTGTTCTGAATTGTTACAACTGTCGTTCTCCACCAAGGTCGGCTTGTTAATATTTTTACGACTATCTCCCACCAATGTGGTGCTTGTTTTACAATGTTACATATGGTGTCCAACCTGGCTGAACGGCATTATAATAGAAACTATAGAAGAAAGCCACAGGTTACACCGTCAAAAAAAATCATACAATGAAAGAATCTCCCAAGTCCCCAAAAAGAAGCAATAATGGAAGAGAGAAGAAAAATGCAAAGTAATAGAAACAAATAACATCATAAACTAGGGAGATAAGTAAAAGGATATAAAAATCTATTAGGATGGACAACCGAAAGCATAAAAGTAAACCAATCCAACAAACGATTGATAATGACAAGAATCTCAAGGTTTACAGGAGAAACTTGAAAAATGTTAAAAAAGAAATAATGAAATTAAACAATAAAGATAGAAACATCATCAACAACAGAAATGAATTACAAAGGGTAGTAAAAGATTTCTATACAGCAATCAACAAAACCATGATCAGCAACTGACAAAAAAGTTTGCTAAAATAATAATTTTTTATATTGAGTAGAGAAGGCTCAAAACCACTAGTAAAAATGTTATTTTTGAAATCATCAAGTGCCTAAATACAAGTTTAAGACTTCTTCTATCGGCTCCCGATAAAAATTCTGGGTTTATATTATTTTAAAACATTGTTTTTAATTGGTATTAAATCGCGCATGGTAGGTCGGACGCTCATTTGTACAGTGAGAAAGTAAACCAGCAAAACTTGTGCCATATATCTTGTTTCTCTCTCTTATACACGCCGCAGCCCGAGCGCCCGTATTGTCTTAAGCGCTTTATATACAATTAAAAAATAATGTTTTAAAATTAATTTAGTCCAAAATATAAAATATTTTTTAGTTATGTTTGACAAATAGGTATTTTAAGTTTGTGTTTTAGTTTTAAATTGTTTATTTCTCAAAAACGATTAAGTTTATACAAAAACTACAAGAGACCTATTTTGATCAGAATGGCCCAAGAAATTAAAAAAAAAATTGTCCGGACTAAAAAATGTATTGTTACAATATTTTTAAAAATTGGTGTGGAGAAAGCCGAATGAAGACTTAAAATTAAAAAATATGAAAGCTGCTGTAAAGCACGATGGAGGTGGAGTAATGATGTGGGAGTTAATGTCCTCCGCAGGAGTAGGTAACGTGCATTTTATGCACGTTTGCACGTTTAGGAAATATGAATCAATGCATGTATTTGGATATTCTAAGGAAGCATCTCGCCGTTGTGCTCAAAAATTAGGTAACATTAACAATTACTGTTTTTTTCGTGACAACGATTCAAAACACACGTCGTGTCGGGTTCGTTCTTCGTTGCTTTATAATTGCCGAAATGTCATTTTGAAACACCAGCCCAGTCACCAGATTTAAATGTTATCGAAAAGTCCTGGTTTACATTAAACCATCAAATATAGATACCTAGTGCCCCAACATCAAATAAAAATTAAAAAAACTAGTATAATAGAAGTAAACATTATTGAAGCTTGGTAAATTGGGTCATATAAATGCCTAGACGACTACAGGCTGTAATAATAATGAAGAAGGACCTACAAAATATACTCCGCCAAAAAAGTATCGCATCACTTATAAAATTACAAATATTTTTGACAGTATTTGCTTAATTTAAATTATTTCTTTCTGGTCCTTAAGAATATTAAAGCTAGAATAAATATTAAAAAGAAATTTGTAAATACAGCTTACTGTTTAAGAAAAAAAATGTTAAGTGCTATTTTATACGGTTTTTTAATTATTAGTCTTTATTTTACTTTTATATTTTAATTTAACGAGAGATTAATGGTTAAAATAATTTCCCTCATTGAAGACGAAAGGAGTCAAAGATATGTGGCAAATTTAGTGGATGTAAATCAGTCGACAGTATCAGGAGTGGTAGTAAGGTACCTAGAGACTGGTCGAAAGACGAGCTGTAAGGTCGGCCAAGAGCAACTACGCATGTGAACAATAGATTTTTAGTGCTTCAGGTTTTGCGTCGAAGACATGTGACTGCAAGTCAACTTCAACATGACTTAGCCGAGACTCAAAATGTACGTGTGTCTTCAGAAACTGTTAGGCACATCTTACGTCAGTCTGGAATTAGGGGCAGAGTAGCTGCCACTGTCCCGAGACTTACAAGGGAACACCGTATAGCACTGGGGCTATACGGGGGCTCTGGGGCGGAATATCTCTTAGGGGTAAAACTGAATTGGTACAGCTAGGTGGAGGATTCTTAACAGCTGATAGATACATTAGAGAAATTTTGGAGATACATGTTTGGAGGTACATGTTTGGAGATACATTTATTGTTTTAATGCATAACAATCTACGCTCACACGTAGCAAGAATCGTTACCGACTACCTTCAAGAGGTAAGTTTACAATTTTTTAATTGGCCAGCACCCAACCGGACTTAAATCCAATAGAACATGTTTGGGACATCTTTATAGAAAGGTGAAATCTGGCCAGTTAATGTTCAGGACTTGCAACAACGGTTGTTAACTGTAGATTGGGATAATATCGATCAAGATTATCTAAGATGATTAATGGGAAGTATGCCACAACGTTATCTAGATGCAAGATGAAAGAGCTGGAGGAGGCAATACGTCTTACTAAATTATCATTACTTTTGATTTTTTTTTATTCAATGCTGTTTGTACGCTTACTTCTAATTTATGAAATAAATCAAATAAAACCTTTGTTTTTCGACATTCTGCATTTTTCTTTTAATACTTGTTACTTACTTAAAAACAAAAAACAACAGTAAAAAATCCATGTTTTAAATTATTTTTAATACAAAATTTGCAGTTTAATAGGTATTGCGATACTTTTTTGGCGGAGTGTATTAGAAATAATTTTTCAATGCCTCGTTCTTCATTAATTTTCTTGTGTGAAAGTTTGCATCATTTTAGCTGTGACATCAAAATCATACATAAAATAACTAAATATTTGTTTTTGCTGTTAAGTTTTTGTTCTTTAATGGTATATTTGAATCCCAAAAAATAGCTTATGCTATTTTAGATGACTTATATTAATATAACTTTAGCATGT